CCTCCTGCTCTCGCTGACTTCATGTCCGACTTTCAAAATAAAACGTCAGGTTTTTTTACACACACACATTTTAGGTAGAGTCGTGCAGCAGCGCATCCGCTTAGAGAATGTACAGGGTCTAGAATCGTGTGCTACACCCCTACAGTGTATATGTCCTACCTTAAAGTGCTACATATCAGAATATGGGCTAAATGATGTAGATGTAAGGCTGTTGTGAGAGGAAAGATAATCTCATACTCATTTTACAAAAGGAGGTTAAGGGATTAGACTCTTTAAACAGGAAAACACAAATGCAATCAACACAGAACAAATATAGAGAGGAATAGTTAATAATATATAGGCAGGAACATTAGGACATTGGAGTGCTAAAAAGAATGTGTGTGCTTTGATGTGAGAGACAGGGGAACAGATATGCATGCTTGTTATCTCCAACCTTGAGCTAGATAGATTGGAACAACCTATGTGTGTATGTCGTGCCAACTAGAACTTTGGGAGACTTTGTTTTTAGAATGATGTGAAAGCCAAGCTGTGCCTACGAGTTACGTAAGTTTTGTTTGTCTCATTATAAAAGATGGTTGGAATTCCTGTGTCAGACAGAGACAACTCTATAACTGAAGTCCTCTCTCTCACATACACAAATAAAAGGAACTTATACTTACAGATGTGTTGATTCATTCTTTTATTAAAGAACCAAAAGTAGACGGAATTCTTCTGCAACACATGTCGCTTCCAAAACTTACTATTGATGTCAACAATACGTTAGACCAGACCACTGAAGATTAAGAATTAAAAGCTAGACTTTTCTTGGAAAAAAATGCATGCTATGATCCAAACTGTATTACAGAGAAATATTCAGAGTACCTACCATGGAAACACTTGGTGCCAATCTAAAAGGAAATGAGAGCAGCTTCCTGCTACTGATAACTCATATGCCTGTGACCTTAGGAAGTGGTATAATGGACTAGAAAGCTGTGCAGTGTGTGAACAGTGATTGTGTATGATTAATTTATTTTCTTTATCTTTTGTATTTTTTATTTTGTCTCAATATTTCCCAGTGCGTAGGATTTAGTAGCATCTAGCGCTGTAGTGACAGATTGCAACTCCCTCGCTTCACCCTCCCCTTCAAAACATCAAGGAGAAACTACCGTGGCTGCGAAATGCGTGAAAAACATGATCAGCACCATCTAAACCTAGTGTTTGTTTTGTCCCTTCTGGGCTACTGGAGAAACATGGCAGACTCTATGGAAGGCTGTAGATAAAAACAGCTCGTTTTAAGGTAACAAAAACATAATAATTCTTATCTTAAGGTGATTATACACTAATGAAAACATACCTATGAATATCATATATAATTTATCCTTAATGTTACACACTGGACCTTTAATATTAATCTGTTTATTATTTTATGAACCTCAGGCCTACAACAAAAATGTTAAAAAAATCATTACTGAAAAAAATGAATGAAAGAATTACCAAAAGCACCACTTCTTATGCAAAACAAGCCAAGTTGATTCATAGTATAATATATACAAGCAGTTATAGCCTCTTCTATCTTTTACATTCAAATATTCATTCAGCAAGAAATTGCTCTGATTACACTAAACCTAATGAAGACCCAGTACAGTGTTCAGGTATTGAATTCACCTTGGCATGGCACATTGCAACCTCCATTTTTTTCCTGAAGATTGTCTCCCTTATTATAATATGATTGGATTAAAAAAACATAACAAAACTCAAGAATCAGTCCAGAATTCTCTGACTTTTCATTCAACAGGTCTAAATGTGAAATTCTGAGATCGGAAAACACATAAAATCAAGTATTTAGGGATGAACACTCTTACACCATTCCTGACAGCCACAAGTTAACAACAGTGGACAACTTGGAACACACAGAAAGAGTCTCGGTGGTCCAGAGAGGAGACATCAGATATCTAGACCCACATGCAGGCACTGGCTTGGAACAACACCTTGCCAACTCTCCAGGTTATTTCAGTTTCCCTTTTTAAATTTGTTTTACTTGACCGACCATGTGGGTTTCCCCACATTTCCCTCATCTGCCTAGTGATAAAAATCATGAAACACTTTTACTACTTTTCATTTTAATTAATGGCTTTGAAGGAATCCCTGTAGACCACAAGAGACAATGTTATATATTCAATGATTACCAAGAAGAAAATCATATTATTCATTATTCTACATCAATTTTATGAGAACAATTGAGTAATTAAACAAGGTTAAACCTTACTGACAACATGGATGTTGTAAGATTTGCCTGCAATAAAGACATTAAAACTATGAACTGGTAAAGGGAAAACCCGGGTACATATAAGTCACATCACAAAGCTGTCATAGGTCAAATATGTTTTTGTCATATTTGCTGAAACTTTAACTATATTCGACAGTAGAACATGAGACAGATAATCTGTGAAACAATCAGGTTCTTCTGG